TTTGCGAACAGCTTAACCGGTTTTATCACAAATCGTTTTACTATCCGAAATTCACTGGCCCCCGGTGTTGTGTACCAGTCAAAGGAGTCTTTGACCATTCGCTGAAGCAGTGGATGCTTTCATTCCACTGGGTATTTAGGCTCACCAGTGTTTACGGCCCCTCTAGGTTTTCCGTGAGCTGATTTCGGAGATATTGTATACTCTTGTTTTGATCTAGGCTAGTCAAAATTTGTCACTTTCTTCATCAAGACCATGGATCCGTCGGAGGTTTTTCAGACTAGGATCTGCAATCGACGTTCGCTGCCAAATGCATTGCGCGTCCAATCTGATGCGATGTTTCATCTATTATGTTACGTTGCAGAGCTCCCCATGTTATGCTTTACCTCATGGCGAGCACGAATAGCTGAATCAGACAACCGATGGCAAGCGAATCGAGTTTTCGGGTTCTCCCCGTTAAGTGCATCCAAATTAATGTTTGATCATAAATTGAACGTTGGTCCACCAGGACCTGCAGTCTTGTTCCGAACCACGCAAAAGGTGGCTTACTGCTATGTGGTCAGCTGGAATCAACTTACCCGGTGTACTGGAACACCACATTGCCGTCCATCTGGAGGTGTGCCGGAGCTTGATACTAGACAGAACAAACAATAATCTAAAAAGATCGATTGTCATTGTGTTCGCTGGTGGGGCAGAGCACAGCGATCACCTATGCAGGCTTTTGATGCACTTTTCTTCGTGCTCAAATCACCTGTCACAATCGTATCGGAGCTTCAACCCAACCCAGTTTATCCTAGAATTTCTCCTTTGTGATTTAGGACTCCAGATTGGCAGCGTCGTGGTTTAGTCACGGTCACAGGCATGCTTCGGGCCCTGTGGTCCGAGGTTCGAGCCTCGCCACCGCCACCCAGCTTTGGTGGTAGGCAGCTGTGCTGTCGTCCGGTTCAATACCACGCCTAACCTGTCGGGGTTTTATGTGGTTCGCCGCTCCAAATCCCAGGGCTTAGGTTGCCGGTTTCCACCACTATAACAGAAGGCCCTCGTGACTATAGTGTTCGCTCCATCTGCTGTTCAGCACACTTAGGTGTGTAATAAAAAAGCGCGAATACTCAGTTGATGAACAAGCATCTGATGTTGCCTCCCGGACACTGATTGAGCACTGGAGCCGCATTGCACTCAAGTAACCGTTGACGTATATCTAATCGACAAGTAGGGCTTAAACTCTATCATTTGGTACCATACTCACTGCGCGCTGATCTACTGAACGGGTTTCGTCTTGTGATTTGCAGAGGAAGTAACTCGAGGAAAAAACCATTGCGCTTAAATGGCTTATAGTAGTAGGATCCTAAATTCACATCCCCGATAAGCAGCAAATATCATTTGTTGAGGAGTGCTCAGCTAGATGAATTTCTTTTTGGAAATCGATTGAAAATTCGTCACAACCAACTATGCACGGGGAATAACCTCTGAAGCTTTATATAAGGTTCATCTTCAACTAAGGGCAATCGAAAAGCAAGTGCTAGTCCGCTACAAACAGTGGGGATGTCTATTTCGACGACTTGTGCTGCGCGTTTAGCGGTGATGTACTTGCTGCACGCACCGCTTACGATTAGCACTCCTGGAGTCAAGGAAATCCTGCGGAGCTTAACAGCCAATGTAAAGGTGGTGTGGCGTACCACATAAAACGGGTATGGCCTCAAACCAACTCCAAGGGGAGTTGTTGTTGTTGTTGCCTATGGAACGGGATGTGAGAAGTTAAACCATGAAGTTTATGTGCTAGCCGCTGTATTTCCGTTTTATTCTCTATTTAAGTACCTCCGTTCTTTATCCACCTTGCTCATCATGGCCACTTTGCATGTTATGTGAACTTGTTAGTGACTGACCGGCCGACTATGTATAATGGTTTGATCTAATTTTATGTTGATCCTTTCTATTTAGGAAAAAGAGATCGCTGGTCTGCAACGACAGGTTGAGGTTTACAAGTTGGATTTGAATAAGGCACAGGAAAATTTCGCTGATTCTCTACGTCGGGCGAATCAACAACTAGAAGAATCACAACAACACTGCCAGAAATTATCCTCCTCGGGTGAGTGGATTGAGAGGGGTTTTAACCGACCACTTGTATTCGTGATGTTTACAATTCGGTCCACAATACGGTTCAGTCGTGGTAAACTCAAATGAAACCCATCGTTACCATTTACTTGTTTATTGATTATTTATCAGCAGGTTTGGGGCAAACTTAAACACTAAACAAAGTGCTCTGTCACCAAGGTTTGTTGGTTTGACGTGTTTCCAGGTCATCTTGATGCGCAATATTATCCGCCATATGGCTATAGAATGGTCAAAAGAGCTTCTGGATATATGAGGCCTGAGCAAACACTTCTGGATTACGCAGTTCACGTTCGAGGTGCAGATGACTGGTCAAGGAAAATGTGAACTGTAATCTATTGTGAATATTGTTCAGCGATTGCAATTCACAAAACCAAATATCAACAGCCGAGTACAGCTCACAAGTCATACGAGGGTCTCCGCACTCGGACTGTCAGGATGGAAGTCAGTCGATATCACTGGTGGGCGATGATTTTCTACGACTAATGTTGTTTAAAGCAGTAGCTCTTTTGTTCGTTTGAGAGCTGCCTTTGATGATGATACGCCCTCAAGAAGCACTGTATTTGAGTGGTTTGCGGAATTCAAGCGTGGCAGGCGGTCCCTAGATCATGAGACTGTGTTCAACCTGTGGAGGCCACCACAGTGAACAACATTGCTGTTATGCAAGCAATAGCGAAGGTGGATTCGCTGGTGACACTCTTATAGTTTGAGGAAACCATCGGGATCAATCCGCACCATCCTACTCGAGAAGCTCGGCCTCAAAAAAATTTGCGCTCTCTGGGTACCCCATCAGCTCAGTGAGGAACAGAACGCAGTTTGGGTGAATCGATGCCGCACCAAGCTTGATGGTGAACGTTCCAATATATATATATATATATATATTTACCACCGGCTTGAAAACAAGCATGGTGCCAACGCAACAACAATAACAGTGAAAGGGGATAGGTGTATTAAGATACAGAACATAGTGAAAAGTGGGTGAAACAGTTAAACATGGGAAACGTTCCAATGTAGTTTAAGAGATCAGCAGTGGTGATGAGACCTGGTTGTACAATTTCAATCCAGAGACCAAGCAACAATCGGCTCAGTGGACGGTGGTTGGTGAGGCGTTGCCTCAGAAATTCCGACGCGAGCGCAGTGTGGTTAAGCAGATAGTGGCTGTGTTCAAAATCGGTCATGTGGCTACTGTACCGCTCGTACAGCAAGACAGTCATTGGAAACCGGTGCGTCACCCACTGTCTGCCGAAAGTACTGTAAGCTGTTGACCGGCGTCGTCCAAGGACTCCAGCACGTGGGGACCTTGCTGCACCATCTCAACGCACCTGCACACAGATCCCATGTCATCGGTGGTTTTCTGGCTACAGAACGCACCCAGGAGGTTAGTCACCCACTGTACAGTTCAGTCCCAGGTCCGTGTGACCTTTTTGTGTTCCCAAATGCCAAGTGTATGATAGTGGAATCCGATACGAGTCACCAACAGCTAGGGTGGAGGCCTTTATTGAACTGGTTCTCTTTTGATGTTTTGTTTCTGTGGTTGCTTGTGTGCTGTCCGTAGATATTGAACCGATTTGAAATCGTTTGTCCTACCACAAATGCAGTGAACCGTAACGGTTATAAGTATTGTGATCTAGCGAATGCTTGAAGACAAAACTACACGATTAACAACTGTGTTTTGTTATTGTATAGCATCCAACGATTTATCTAACCATTGAGATTTTCCTTTGCTCGTGTGTCAATGTGCTCGTCCGTATTCTGAAATTACATTCATCTATTGAGTGTTTCGGAGCCTCCCGATTATTTATTTTTGTCAACAAATTAGCGTATTTATTCAGTGACATTCAAGGAAATCATCCAGGCAGCTCTGAGAGTCCATCTTGGTTACACATGGATTCCGTCAGTGTGCTTTTATGGGTTCTTGTTTCTTCATTTTCCAGGCGAATCTCCGCATTGTTTAATAACCTAGCCTATTCTTTTCCCTTCTGGGGGTTTGACTGTGCTACTAGAAGAAATACGATGATGTATCATCAGGTTAACAGTTGCGATTTCTGATCTAGACTGAATTTTCCGAACACATTTCCTCCTAAAATCGTGTATTGCGAAGCTTCCTCCCAACAATCGATCACCCGCTAGGAGCGAACACCTTCGCGATCTCTACTGGTTTTACCGCTGAAACTCCCGTAGAATGGATACTTCCCACAAGCGCTAACACTCTTATCGCTTCGTTTACCTACGTACCAACAGAAAATTGTTCTTGGTGCTGTGTTAAAAACAACTTATAGGCCCCTCTGTTGTGACAAATATCAAATGAGTGAACTTTTGTTTGATACTCACGAGGTAATGGTCGCACCTCTTTAACCTTCTCGGAACTCCATTTTCAATTCATCTGAATTGAAACAAGACTTCTTAAATGGCTATTGGAGTCATTTGATAAACTATACGTCAGTTTGCTGTGCCTGATCAGATGTTTGCAAATGAACTTATGGCGTTCATTCATTTAGACTACAGGGCAATGAGGTTCATGTAATGAGCTCACTTCAACTTTCACATCATGTTAGTTAACCTCACCAAAATCTAAGATTCCTGATGAGACGTTCAATGAGAACGATATTCCCAAGCTTCAATAATCAAGCAAAACGAAACTCGAGTCTAGCGCTTCCGAGCGTATGGTTAAATCGAGCAACTGAGAGTTGTGCATGATGGTGAAGTCCGAAGGATAGTCAGTCAAATCAATCAAAATCAAGCAAAGGTTAGTAATTTGCATAGGAGTGGACTTGCCCTTAGGATCCGCAGTAGGAAGAAGGGAAATCCACGAGGACATCAGATTATGTTAAGAACTGGAAGTTTCAAGTCCCTGAAAATCATGCCAACACATATTGGTCGTTTAAAGGACGTACGTAATTAATGCTGTGTGTAAGAATGGGTTCTCACTACTGGCAGGAGGTCACACATTCCACTATCCTTAGATGTTTCGAAAAATGCGGTATTCCTGATGATGAACTATCAGACTGAATGTGTGTGGACCGAGGACTGTGCACTAATGACTTTGCTTTCAATTGAATGGGATTCACAATCTTACACAGTCGTGGGTATGCTATTCTTTTTCCCACCATTTATGGTTTCTCTGTCCGATACGTTAATGGAAGATGCAAATACGGTAGCCTCGGTAAGCGAAAACGACGCAGAAGAGATAGCTCAGTTCGAAAAGATTACGGTAAGAAATGCATTTCAAACTATACAGTAGTTGTGCAATTTTGCACCGAATTCGTTCTCAGAATAGCAGATATAACAAAGAAGTTAGTTTTCTGTGTTGTTGATTCCCGTGTCAGGCAGTTAAAAATTCTAGTGAAATCAGTTTTTTTCGAATTTGATGTGCATCAGTGATTTGAGATAAATGAGGCTTGCGGACAACTTGTCTTGGTACTTAATCCGAGAGCAAATGCTCCTTCTCTGTGGTCCCAGCGATGTTCGTTCTAGGGGCAGGGGAAAAGAGAGAAGAGCCACTGTACTAACAGTGATATAGTATCATTGGTTTTCGACTCATCATCTTTGAGACTTCATGCGCAATACACAGTTTATTCATTCAACCAAGTGCATAGTTTACTGGATTCCTTGAGGATAGTGCGTGAAGGTGAAGTCTGAGGGATGATCAGTCAAATGTAAATTCACTCGTTCCCTCCTCCGCTTCCGTAAAATATTTTTTCTCGTAAGTGCTAGATTTCGCCATTTCTCATTTCTGGTTATTCCTTCTGCTCTTCAGCCCTTTGTTCCGAAGTAACGGCATTGAGACAAAAAGTGGCTACCATTGAAGTATCAAAGAAGATCAGTGATGATGTGAATACGATTCTACAGGTAGGTTCTGAAGAAATAAATGGTTTGTGCTCTTAGTTCAAATCTGATTGAATACGTTGCATAATCCGCGGTAACGGACTCTCGATTTCCGTCTTTTCAGGATGAGTTGCGCGATTTGCGTGAACAGGTAGGAATTTACGAACGTATGCTACAATTGGATGAGATTCCCGTTGACGATCTCTGCCCAAATGAGGACCGCAGGGATTATAGACCCGGGCAATATGATGTGGAGGGAAACGATCAGCTGCTAGAAACGGATACTATTCATTTTTCGGACACACATTTGGTTCAAGGACGACCATCCTCAAGGATGGGGAAATGCGGCGAAGAGCTGCATTGCTCAGAAAAATGTACCCGACCGTCATCGGACAACAGCCGACGACGTGCGTAAGTGTAACTTTGTTCTTTCTTGCATAGCATATAGTAAGCAGTAACCATTCTGAGCACAAGATTCATCATAAATTGAGAACAAGCGATATCCAGATATGTGCCATAAAAACTGAAGTAACTGTTCAATTATGTTTCTTTTTACTTGATATCCATCAACCGATTTATATATATGCTTTCATTATTTCAAGAGAAGAGGTGGGGGGGGGGGGAGGGGCGAAATGTTTACCGTCGGCTTAGAGAATAAGCATGTTGTCATCTGAACACCGTCAAAAAATAAAGAAAACAGAAAGTTCCGTATTCAAATGAGGTGGGACGGTTCTTGTGTGTTTCCAACTTACGCTTTCGAACGTGTTTTTTTGATTGGATTGTGCGGACTGCGGAGTTTGAATAAGCCAACCGTAAACAAATTACTCCCCGGATTTCGGTTCTTAACGCTTCTAACAGCCATTAGACTTCAACTAGGAAGACGGGAAGCACTGGCCGAATCTGAAAATAGTTGAAAGCGTTAAGTACCTTGAGAGCTTGATACCAGCTGGGAATGGTGTTGGGGAGGAGATCGCGTCAAAAAACTGAAGTACCTTGTGTCCATCTACGACACCTGCAAGTCTACCATGATATTCGACACTCCCTGAAGAGAAAGGTGTAAATAGTAGCGGTTCGTAGTGCGGTTGCAAGACTACCTCAATTCAGCCACCGATGTCTTCGAAGCACTGTCCGTGTCTGGTGGGAACATCGGGCAAGTAATGATTAGGTACGTCGTTATATGGTGGCTGTTGATGATCGTTCTCTAAAAGAAGTAATCGCTCTTCATCGCCTCAGTCATGTTTTGCGTATGCCTGCTCACCTTCTATCTTTCTGTACTCTCTTTGCACTTTATGGGTAAGGCTGAAAGAAACGCCGCGATGGCCACACGACGCTCTGGTGTAGGGGTACGGTCAAGTTAGTCTCTACACTGGCAACCTGCTTTCCAGGTTGAGGCTCAGGGGATGAGGACTATCGGCGGTGAGATACACTGAGAAAATGACAATTGCACGATTACTGTGCGGTCTGCATGTTGAAATACTGTTTCATAAAAATGACGAGCAAACAGAAGATGAAACAAATAAACAAAGACAATCTTGTTCCTGTTCTTTTGTAATTTGTTCTCCAGATTGTTCTTTTCTGTCCTCCAATCTTATCCTATTCTATTCTTATCTCTTTTGCGTTGGACCATGGTTGCCGGTTAGTGCTGAGATGAGCGAGATCCGTGGCTT